ACAGACTGGGCCACTCATGTTGGCCACTCACAGGACCCACAGCGGGAACCTACACAGCTGGCCATGTCATGGGCCTTTTGGCTCTCAATTTAGAAGAAAGCAACAAACCACCAACCTTTTATTTTGGTCAGGTGTGTGGTGCTTTTATGTGACCATTTACCAGAGCAGAGAGCCCCAGTTACTCCCAGCGCTTACTCAGACACCTTGGCCAGAGCAGCGGACTTCTGGGGGGTAGGGCCTCCCACAGGAGTGCATGTGAGCTGGGAGCATTCCACCTAGAGCGCACAGCCCGTTGGAGCACCCCTGTCTGTACATGTGTGAAGTAGCTTCCACTCCCTCATCCTGCAAGGGTCAGATTTGCCAGCGAGAAAAGATGACCTCTACACTTTTTTCTTTTGTATTTTGATAAACACTGAAGAAGCTGGAGCTGTTAAATTTTATCTCTGGGGAGAAAAACCCTCAGAACTGGTTTATTTGGTGTCGTGGAACCTCTTACTGCTTTCAATACACAATTAGTAATCAACTGTTTTGTATACTTGTTTTCAGTTTTCATTTCGACAAACAAGCACTGTAATTATAGCTATTAGAATAAAATCTCTTAACTATTTCATGAGCTTTTCAGTGCTTCCATGCTGCTACCCACCAGCTGCTGCTCAGCCTGACACACTGCTTCCAGTAAGTGAGCAGAATATAAGAAAAGCCTTTTTTGTATTAAATATACAGAAGACCACAGCCTTCTGCACCTTGTCCTCACCCCCTTTTGTCTGTACTCATCTGACTGCAGATTCATCAGCTATGCATGCCACCACAGCCCTTATGTAACCAGGGGGGAAGGATTCCACCTCTTTAGCACGTCTTGGCCATTCCTCTTCTACTATCCCAGATGAGATCTCAGTGAGTGTGCATGTGAAAGAGAGTTTTCTGGTATCCATTGGGCTGTGTGTATTTCCAGGGCAGAGTAGGATCATGGGGTCACCACCCTGGCCTTTCAGCTTCCAGCTATGTTTGTTCCTTATTCAGCAAGGTGTTTGCTGAAACTTGGACATCCTGAGACACAGCATGAACAAGCAGGTGTGGTCTTGTGAGGTGTGATGGCGGCAGAATCCCTGGGTGCCAGAAAAGTGCTCTGAGACTGAGGCTACAGTAGCAGGGAGGGGTGGGAGAAGGCTGGGGTGCAGGCCAGTGCTGTGGCCTCGTGGAGAGGGAGAGAATAGTCTGAGAGGAGGATAATATCGGATTCTCTTAAGCCAGTGGGACATAAGGCCTGGGGGTCAAGCGTGCAGCCAAAGGACCTTCTGTCCTTTCTAGCTTAAGTTGGGGTATGGCCCTACAAAATCTACCTTGCTCTTCTCTCAGGGATAGATCTTTTTCTTAACCAGGCTAGGCCTGTCCTCAGCCCCATGATGGAACATCCCTGCCGCTGGGAACCTTCGTTGCACAGATGGTGTGCTGACTTCTATGAGCACCCTGGGTGAAGGGAGTGGCTTTGTGGGCTCCAGTACCTTAACTTCTGATGCTCCTAGAATGTTGACTGCCACAGCCAGCTTGAGGGTGCCTTTCCTCAGTGTGGAGGCAACCCAGCTGTAGGGCCTGATGGACAAGCAGGTGATGGCCCTGGCCAGGTATGTTGTAGCCTATGCAGGTGTAACACCTTCAAAACTCAGGCGCATGGGCAGTGGCACCATGTGCCCTTGTGAGGAATGGCCTGTGGACCATAGGGCAAAGATTCTGCCTACAGCAGCAAAATTTACAGCTGCATTCTTGCCATCTTGGGATAGACATAGGCCACACACAGGTCCTTCGGTGGCCTGGGGTTTCACTGACCACAGAAAGGCAGGGGAAGGGGTGAGGGTCACCCTGTATCACATCCTCTAGAAGGGATGCAAGCCAGGCTGAGGGTTAGGGAGGCTTCTGGGAAGTCACACTGCAGGAGGCATACACAAGAATGCCTTCCTGTAGCCCCCTTTCTATTGGGCTTTTTTGGTAACTGCCTAAGGATCCAGAGCCAGACCTGGGAGGTATCCCCTGCCTTTTTCCTGTTGGTTGGGGGCTGCAGCTGTGGTCAGGGCCCTGCCCTGGACATTCATCACCTCAACCACATGGTGTCCATTGTGCCAGTTCAACTTCAGATGTACCCTTGGCACTGCATTGGGTCCTATTCCTCCTGAGGTAGAAAACCTGCAAAAGGGTAGGTGTGCAAAGGGTGTGAGAGCACCTGCCCAAGGTCTCACAGCTTGGTGGAACCATCTGAGACCAGCAAATCTGATCTATTCCTGGCCACACCCTTACTTGGGCACCACTGACATGGTAGACCACGGGCCATGGGCTCCCAACAATTACAGGAGCAGTTGTAAGTTTTTGTAGTAGGGAGGAAAGGCCCATGGATGCCATCATGCAGCCCTGGTGACAAGCTTCTGATGCAGAGCTGACCCAGGGCCTGTGCAGGTTGAGGAGAGCAGAGGTGGGCTGACTGACACGTGAGGGACCAACTGACACGTGAGGGACCCACTGCCCAGCCAGGGCTCAGAGATCTACCTCTTCAGGTGGCTTTTGAGGACCAAAGTCCTGGAAGAGGGTGACCTGCCCTGTTCCAACTCCTGAGCCAACTTCAGCTTGGGCCTGCTAACACCAGTGTCTGCCTGGCTAGAAGAGAACAGGCTTAGTGCCACACCATGGCGCCCCCCCCCCCATGTCTTGAACCAGCCATACAGGTAGGAGGAGCCAGCATCCAGCCAACCCACCTTGGAAGGACTTGTATGGATGGGCAAGAGGCTCTTTAGTTGGTGTGAAGAACAGGTGTTCTGGAGGGGTGGGCAAGGAAGCAAGCCATTGTAGCCTCAGGAGTGAGCCCTTGGGTCTACAGCCCCACCCCAAGGACCTGCCTGAGACTGCTCCTCGGGCTTTTCTCTATGGCATTTAGTGTTGTCTGTCACCAGTCTCTCCCATCTCCTGATTTTCATCTCATGTTCACAACAATCCTCCCAGGTCCCTGCATAGTCCTTGATGCCTAGTAGGTAAGTCCTCACCTTTAAAATTGTTACTGTGATTTGTGTGAAAGTTTACAGAGCAAATTCATTTTCCATACAGCAGTTCATACACATTTTGTTTCATGACATTGACTGAAGTTTCCCACAGTGCAACAGCTATCTTCTCACTTCCTCCCTGTAGTTCCTCTTCCTATGCCTGCCCTTCCCATGTACTCCCACCCCTATCCCCAAGGTAATCTCCCTATGCAAATACTGCCCTTATGTTTTCCCACAATTGATCGCTCCAAGGAGTGTATCTACCTGATGTAAATGTTCACCAGTTCCAGACCTGAAGGATAACTAGGGGCCACAGTTTCAGTGATCTCACCAGGCTCTATCAGATAAGCAAACCTGGTCCTTTTTATGATTTTGAGTTTAGTTCCATATTGTTTACCCACTCTATCCAGGATCTCCTGCACCGATTCCCCCTCTGAGTGGTTGACTGGTAGCTGGGCACAATCTAGTTCTTCTGGTCTTATAGTCATTATAGGCTGAGGATCACACGGTCTTTTAGTCCCTTGGACCGTTGCCATGCATCTTTGGTTTTCTTCATTCTTTGCTCTGGACAAGGAGCGACCCATCATTGCATTTAGATGGCCACTTGCAAACTTTTTAGCCCCTAGTCACTACTCACCAAAGTAGGATGTACAACAGTGTTCTTGTATAGTATATTATGCCAGTTGAGCTTGATGTCCCCTCAATCATGGTCCCAAGCCCACAGGTCCAGCTACTCACTCCCTCAGGGTAGCTGGCTGTGGCCAAGAAGCCACCACAATCTTGTCCCTTGTCAGCTCAACTGTACACCCAACATTCTTAACAGAATTCAGATGTTCATGTAGAAACATCATTCTGCCAACCCTATAAATGGTCACAGGCACCATTCACTTTGCTTCGACATAAAGCTTGTCCACCCATCTATCAACCCATAGATCAATGCTTGCTATCACTGACAATGCAGTACTGTACATGGAAACAGGTTAGTCTTTGTTATCTGTACTTCCCATGTACCTCTCTGTGTCTTCCTCATTACCACCAAGTTGATCACTCACTTTAAGTCCTCAACTTTTGAATTCCTGCCTCCAGCTGAGTGGGGCCTTCTGTATTGGGAAGGACCTGTTTGGGGAGTGCCAGCACCCTTGGGTGGAGTCTGTTGATCACTAAAGGGATGACTTAAGGCTCCACATTTAGGAAAAGTTCTTCTGAAACATGAGAATCCCTGCCAGAGCCCAATCCTACATCTTACACATGTAGCAAGGGGCCACTCAGACCTACATGGAACACCAAAGCAGGGCACTGGTGCCAGTGACCCTGAGATAGTTCCATCTCTGGCTACTTGAAAGACTGTCCCTTTTGTGCTCACCCCTCTTAATGGAGAGCCAGGGTAGGATCTTTCCACAGACAATACTAGTTTAGTAATCCTTCACACGAGTCACTGTCTTAACACGTGATACCAACCCTCCCATTAATTGTAATGCATACTTCCTTTTAAAATAAATTTATTTACGTAAAAAGAGCAAATCAAGGTAAAGAAAAATAGTAATCGTACTTGCTATAGCAAACTCAGGATGCCTGGAAGCCACTGTGGAGGGCAGAACGCCAGAGGAGGGAGTCTGTTCTGCATCCAGGGCAGGCTGGTCTTCACCTGGGCAGGCATGGGCCATCACAGCAAGGCCAAGTGGTAGGGATGATGCCCTGAGGTCCTTATAACCCACTGGGCCTGGCCAGTCTGCCTCACCAGACCCCCTTCCCAAGTCCTTGACCTGACTTTCACAAAGCCAGCCTCTTCTAACCTCCACTCCCCAGGCTGAGATGGGCTGTGCCATTCCAAGGGGCAGGGCTGGCTCCAGCCTTACCCCCATGGTGGTAGAGTATCCATGAAGAGCCCACTGTCACAGCTGAGCAGTTAGTGAACTAAGGGGCATGGGCTCAGAGCTGGGGAACACTGGGGTGGTCAGTGCAACAGGTACACAAGGTTCAGTCGTCAGAGTCTGTGTCATGCCGTCTCCAGGACTTGGGGCTCCTCCTGCTGCATACTCCGTGTCCATAATTTCTTCTCTTGCAGAAGGGGGAAGAGTGATTGCTGGCTAAGGAACTGGAGTCATGCCGGTGGTGTCCATGCCTAGGGGAGAGGGCCAGAGGGCAGCTGGTGACAAACTCTGTACCTGGGGCAGCACAGCAATCAGGCCCACCACACCCTTGGCCTGCCCAGCCAGGCTAGGTGGTGCCCATGCTGACTGCTGTGCACACCATGCAGTCCCAAAGCACACAGAGAAGATCTCCATGCTGCCACGGCTCTGTCCTCCCCAGCCTGATTCTCTGTTCTGAGAGCCTTGCCCCATCCCCTTAAGACCTCTGCCAACAGCTGGGCCTACCCAGTGGGAGGTGAGGACCCAGAAGCAGCAGCCACCTCTGTCTTGTGGTGCTTTTCTTTCTTCTTCTCTTTCTTGTGCTTCTTCTTTTTCCTTTTCTTCTTCTCTTTCTTGCTTTTCTTGTGGCTCTCAGAGCTGCAAGGGGCAACATAAAACCCTTCAACCCTAGCCCTCGTTTCCAGAATTCCGCTCTGTGTGCCACATAGGAGAGGATCTGGTAAGCAAGAGTAGGTGAGGTGGGGTTCCCCAGAGCAGGGTCTCTACAGGGAGAACGGCCTACACCTGTGCTATCCATAAAGGTAGCCACTGGCCATATATGGCTACCGCAATTTAAATGAGAAATTTAGTGCCTCAGTCATACCAACCACATTTCATGCCCTTAAAAGCCTGTGGTCTGTGACTCCATAGTGGACAGCACAGGTGGGGACAGCCCATTGTGTACAGTGGCCCCCTCTGGTAAGTATTTCCCTGGGCATCCTTGCCCCACTCCACAGCCCCCACATGCTCTCAGCCCACCCTCCAAGATGCCCAAGTGCATGTCTGCTACTATACAGCTCAGCCTGGCACTGCCTGCCACACACCAGAGTGCAGTCTCACAGTGAAGGACTTCTACTACCTGGCCCTCAACCCATCTCCACTGCATTTTCCACATGGACTCTGAGCATCTTACCACTGGGTGCACAGGCCCTCCATAGCCAGGAGCCTGCCTCTCTAAGCTTAGCTCAGAGCATCCAGCCTTGGCCCTTATGCCAGGTTGGCCACCTAACTGCTAGAATAGGAAAGCCTCCCAGTACTACACCAAATGCACCTGTGACCTCACCTACTTAGTCCAGGAATGACTGAAAGAGCTCCTAAAATGACAGAGGTAGGAGGAGACAAGGAAAAATGGGAAGGGGCAGGAGCAGAGCCCAGAACACAGCTAAGATAGACACTGCGTCACTGAGCCTCCCACAGGCATTTGGCTTGGAGCTTCCCAGCAGGTAGTGTGCAAAGAGAAACCTGAGTTCTGTGCTTCTTAAGCTTTTCCTGTCATGGAGGCCCTGGGTTGTGCCTTAAAAGTTGCCCAGCCCCAAACACAGAAATTCTTAAAACCTTATCTTAAAAACGGCATGAAATTATGTCCAGAATCCCAAGAGGTGCATACGTTGCCTGTGGATCCCACGCAAGTGAGGAATTGAGCAAGACTCTTACCACAGCTCTGCCTTCTCGTCAGAGTGAAGCTTCTTTCTGGCTGAGGCTGGGGAGGTCCTTGCCCCACTGCTCTCCACTCGGTGGTGCTGCCAAGGGAAGCCAGAGCCACACAGTGAGGACCCAGGAGGAGGCCTGGACAACCCAGAAATACTTCCAGGCCATCCAAGCCCAGATTTCCCAGGTCAGGAGGCTGGGAGCATTTCCCAGAGAGGAGAGGGCTCTGCCCCAGGCCCAGAACACAAAGGGAACCCAGACCCCTTCTGCCTTGCCAGCATGGGCTCCTGGTGTGTTTTGAGGGAGGGGACATTACTGTGAACACCGACAGCCCCAGCTTGGCAGCCTCCTTGTCTTCCCTGGACAGCACCACTCGGCCCGCGGAGCCACTGTAGGGACACACATGGAGAAAATATGTCAGTGGAAAAAGGGCAAAGCCACAGCCCCACTCAGGAGTCCTTGCAGCCCTGTCCAGGTATCTGCTTCCACCTGGGTACCTCTGGTTCTCCGGGGCCTGCTGGGCCGTGAAGACTTTTTTTTGGTCAGATCCTTAACCTACAAACCCCAGTCCTGGTAAACCCCGTTCCCAGAAGGACCCCGAACAGTTCACTACCCCCTCGGTTCCCCGCACCTGGAGCTCCCCAGGCCCAGAAGCCGATCCACACCCTTGTCCTCCGGATCAGTGCCTTCCCGCTTACAAACCTCGACAAAATCCTGTGGAGAGAGGTAGGCAAGGTCCTCAGGCAGGCCTCAGGGCCCCCTCCCGCCCCACCCAGGTCACCCTACCAAGCTCAGAACCGACACCACCCGACCCTCTCTCCGCCCGTTACCTCCTTGCTCAGGCCTGTGGGTTGTTTCTTCACGTTCTTGTAACCTCTGCAACAGGGCCAAGGCACGCTTCAGGAATGGTCGACCCTCCACCCTCATCCCGGGCCTCCCAGCCCTCGGGACACTGCACACCCTCACCCCGCAAGGCCACTCACAGGGCTGCCATGAGAGCCTCCTGCTCTGCCTGCCGCACCGCCGCCAACTCCTCCTCCCGGCTCAGTCCCACTGGGCCCACGCGGTCCTTGGCGTACCAGGTGAGGTCCCGGCCCTTCTGCCACCGGCCCACCGGGGCCATTAACGAGTTACCCAGGTAGTTTTCCCGTTGCTTGTCGGTTTTCACGTCCTCCCAGTTGAACTGGTCTTGCCCGCCGCGGACGCCGCCCCGGCTGGAGCCGAACATGGTGCAGGCGGGTGCTGCGGAGGACAGAAGGACATAGGTGCCCGCACTCGGCTAGCCTTTCTAAGCCCTAGGCCAGGAGCGCCGGCCCACAGACTGAGGCCGCAGAAGATGTGTCCAGCCCGCCCTGCCGCCCTACTCTCCGCTGCCTCACTCGCTGCCTTCGCAGCCCTCGCCAACACAGACAGCCCCGTGTCGCACGCACTGACGTCACCGCACCAGATCGCTTCTCCTGCATCCCGTAACCCCGCCCGCTCAGTTTCTTCGCCGTCGTGCGCAGTGACGTTACCCACACTAGGTCCCGCCCCCAGCGCAGGCCCGCTTGCACCGTCTTAATGTTTGCCTATGGGGAGCTCTGGTAGCATAGTGGCTAAGGCACTTGACTGCTAACCAGAAGGCAGGCGGTTCAAACCCACCAGCCACTCCTCGGAAGGAAGGTTGGGCAATCCTACTTCCGTAGTGATACTGCCTCGGAAACCCAAGGAGGGGTCGCTATGAGTCGGGGCCGACTCGACGGCAAACAACAACAACATGGTGATGGGGGTCTTTCTTCTATTTGGGTGGGTGATAGTGGTTGTTGTTATGTGCGCTGGAGTCAGACCGACACATAGCGACCCCTTCTTGGGTTTCCGAGGTGGTATCACTAGGGAAGTAGATTGCCAAACCTTCCATCCCAGGACTGGCTGGTGGGTTTGAACCGCCAACCTTAAATGGCTTAGGCACTACGCCACCAGAGCTCCTCCAAAAATATTACCGGCAAGAAAATCCTGTGCTGCAGTGAAACACATGGGGTTGCCGTGAGACTTAATTGGCAGCTAACAATAACAAAAAAATATTTCAGAATCTGAGCCCTAAAACGCCAAAGTGACAGTGATTTAATTTTTTTGAACGTGAAAACGGAGAGTAGTGATAGAAATGAAAATTACTCTTGAGTGTCAAAGCCAAGGGAACCAAATTTCTAATCTGTTGGACAACTCATTGAAAAAAAGTTTTTTTTTTGGTTTAGTCAAAAGAAGAAGTAACTTTGGCCTTCCAGATTGTTGTAATGAAAAGCATTTACACTTATAGAAATATACTTGAAATAAAAGAAGGTAAATAACGATGTAAGAATTGTGCAACAGTTCAGCATTTAAGAGTGATGGGGAAAAGGATGTCTATGTGTCTCAACAATGGTACACTTAGTAATAAAACCAAGTGGTGGTAGTAAACTACTAGGCAACCAAAGAGTTAAGCAATATAGTGTTTCTAAAACCTATACTAGATCAGTCTTGGCAGACAGATCAGTCTTGGGCACTATTTGCACAGAGAGACAGCTTGGGGGCAGGAATGTATGGGAAGGAAGGATACAGGGAAGAGGTAACTGGGGGGAAGCGGGAAGAGAGAGCTGTTACAATGTAGGGAATTGCAGTCTGTCATGAAACAAAATGCGTACAAACTGCTGTATGGAAAATGAATTTGCTCTGTAAACTTTCACCCACATCACAATAAAAATTTTTTAAAATAATAAAACCAGCTCTGGTGGCATAGTGTTTAAGGCATTTGACTGCTAACCAGAAGGCTGGAGGTTCAAACCCACCAGCCACTCAGAAGATTGGGCAATCTATTTCTGTAGTGATACCACCTTGGAAACCCAAGGAGGGGTCGCTATGAGTCACATCTGACTCAATGGCAATGAGTTTGGTTTGGTTTTTTGTATATTTAAGTTCAAGATTTGTAAAATAATTGGTTCAGTTCCCAGTTTAGTGTATAAATTAAATACTGATGCTGCCATAGAAATTTTTAATACATTTGTTCAGTTTAGTAAGACACAGGCTTTACCTGACATTGAGAGGCAATAAAATCACAAGCGAATCTGCTGTACAGCAAGAATAACAGAACATATCATGAAAATTAAGATGAAGATAATTAAGGGTATCATAGAAGAGAATGGCAAACCTTGTACCCTAACAACCAGGCATCTTGTGATTTCACTCTGATTCCCAGTTCAGCAAGCACCTGCACCAATTTGTTGCTTTCAAAGAACTGGTACCCACCACAGTGGATATGTTTTCAATACAGTATTGTGTATTTTAAATTACTGTGGCTTTAAAAATATTAAAACACAAACCTAATTGTAGCTTGTCCCGATGGGGCAATGCTGAAAACAAAGTTATTAGAAAATGTTCCTAAAACCTTCATTTGGCACTGTAAAACCAATGGTTACAACTGTCAACAGAAGTAAAACAATCATATAAAGATATTTCTGGATATCAGGTATGTCTAGGCAGGGGAGAGTGTGCCCATGACCATGTATAGAGTTGGCAGATGTTTTTACATGCTTATTTGTGTGTGCTGTAACAATGTCAGGTGTATAGTAGAGCTGACAAGGGGCAAGGTTGTGGTGGCTTCTTGGCCGCAGCCAGTTACCCTGAGGGAGTGAATAGTTGGTCCTGTGGGCTCATGACTATGGTTGCAGGGAAAATCAAGCTCAATTGGCATAACATACTACACAAAAACATTGTTCTACCAACTCAGTGGCACATAATAACAACATCCTACTTTGGTGAGTAGCAACTAGGGTCTTAAAAGCTTGCAAGTGGCCAGCTAGATGCAATGATAGGTCTCTCTTCATCCATAGCAGAGAAGAATCAAGAAAACCAAAGATGCATAAATACAATTAGTCTAAGGGACTAGACTATGTGATCCTCAGCCTTTATGACCATGAGACCAGAAGAACTAGATGGTGCTTGGCTACCACTGTCAATCACTTAGAAAGGGATCAGTGCAGGAGATCCTGAATAAAGTGGAAGAACAATGTAGGACAAAACTCAAAATCATTTAAAAAAAAAAAAAAAAACAGGTTTGCTCATCTGATAGAACCTGGTGAGACCTCTGAGACTATGGCTCTCAGTTACCCTTCAGGTCTGGAACTGAACTCACTCCTGTGGCTTCCAGTCAAACAACAGACAGGCATATGGGGTGAACATTCACATTGGTATACATTCCTTGCAACAATCAATGGTGGGAGAACAGAAGGGCAGTGTTTGCACGGAAGATAGCTTGGGGGGCAGGAAACCATGGAAGTTAAGGACACTGAAGGTAACTACAGGGAGGAAGTGGGAAGAGAGCTGTTACACTGTGGGGAATTGCAGACAATGTCATGAAACAAAATGTGTATGAACTGCTGTATGAAAATGAATTTGCTCTGTAAACTTTCACCCGAATCACAATAAAAATTAAAAAAAAATTCTGGATAAAACATTTCATTTACTACCATAGTTAAACAGTAGATATGAGATTTAAAGATAATAAATTTAGTTAGTGGATTAAGATGCAAATTGTGGTTGAATTAAAACTATTGGTTGGCTATGGATACAAGAGTTCTGTGACAATCAACAAAAGTATTCTCTGAAATTCGGTTGTATGGAATTTACAATAAATAGTATCATGTATTTTGTTGGTATTTGTATATTGTGTGCTGTATGTACATCCTTGATATCAGTGCATGATACACTATGCATCTACAAAAGCAGACATTCCACACACATCCATCCACACATGCATGTTCTACCACTGTCCCCTACCAGCATTAAACATTTGCAGATTTAATCCGTCATTTCACCAATGATTTAATCAGGAGCTTGATAGGCTCAGTTGTTCAGTACGTGACATCACAGGCATGAGAAAGGCAAGGCTGGGAAGGGAGGGTGCCATGAGGAGAGGCTAGAAGATTCTTTTGCCCTGGTCCAAGCTACTCTTCTTAATCTAGCTGGCTCTCTTCTTACTGCTCTGCCACCACCTTCTCAGGCTCCCTTACTTGCCCTTTAATTCCAGGGCCCCCCAGCATAACAAAGTGAGAGTCAGACATGAGTGTGCCATATATTACTGCCAAGTCATCTTTGACCCTTTGTTTCCTCATATGTACCTAAACAAGGCAAACTCCTCCCCTAGGCTATTGTCCCAACATCCCACTGTCTCTTTGTGGCCCTGTCCACTTTGGCAGCATCAGACAAGTATCTGTAGCTCCAGGTCTCCCCCCAGGACCATCTTCAACACAGCATGTCTAAGACCACAGATGTGTCCCTTCTCCAGGGCTCCTGGCTCAGGTAGCATCATAACCACTTCTTGGTATGGAAGTTTTGACTTCCTCTCCAGGCTTACCTATTGCCACCTGCTCCTCTCAAATTACCTGCCTGAAGTACTTAGGACCTGGTCACATTCTTCTGAGCTGCTGGAACTAACTTGTGCCATCAGATGTCAGAACAGTGGTGACCCTGGGATGATAGCAGCAGGAGGAACGCAGGAAGGCATAAGGTGTTTCCATGCACTGGCTCTGTCCACTATGTGAAAGACTGATGGAGCTTACACTCATGATTGGTCTACTTTTCTTTGTTATTTATTATATTTCTTACTTACGTAAATACTTAACTTTTTTTCTCCCTATATTCAATAAAGGAGTTCTGGAAGCATAGCACCTAAGGCACCTGAGTGCTAACCAGAAGGCTTGCGGTTCAAACCCACCAGCCACTCTTTGGAAGGAAGGCTGGGCAATCTACTTCCATAGAGATACCACCTTGGAAGGAGCTCTGGTAGCATAGTGTCTATGGCACTTGAGTACTAACCAGAAGGCTGGCAGTTCAAATCCACCAGCCACTCCTTGGAAGGTTGGGCAATCTACTCCCGTAGTGATACTGCCTCAGAACCCAAGGAGGGGTAGCTGAGTCGGGGCCGACCTGACAGCAAATAAAAACCACTGCCACAACCACCTCGGAAACCCAAGGAGGGGTCGCTGAGTCGGGTCCAATTTGATGGCACATGACAATAACAACAACATATTCAATAAAATGTTACATAAAATAGCAGGTACCCAGAAGATTCCAACAAGCCTAATTTCTGCACTCAGGGCCCAGGTGTATTCCACAAGAGCAGCCTTAGCTCTTCCTTCCTCATTCACTCAGTAAACCTGAGCACCTCTCAGGCACTGTGCCAAACACTGGGGACATACCAATGAGCTTACACTATGGTGCAGGGGACACATTGTACATATAAACACATACTGTGACCCAGTGACAAGTGGCCAGCCCAGTGAGACTGAGCAGTGACCTGGACAGAGGATGAGAACCAGTAAGAAGAGTGCTATGGCCAGAGGCAACAGTGGAGAACAAGGATGCCAGCTGGTAGGGTGATGATGCAAGGCCCAAGGCCACAGCAGGAACTAGGGCTTTACTCTGGAGAGGGAATAGGAGTGCCATGGTGACCTACAGGGAAAGGCTCCTGCTGGCAGACATGCAGAACATGTTGGAAGCATTGGTAGAAGCAAGGAACTTGGAGAGGGGGCCATAACGGTCAGCCCCAGATGATGGTGCCATAGGCCAGATGGAAAGAGTGGATGTAAAATAGGGGTTGTAGTAGGATCTGGATGTGTTATGAAAGTAGAGCTGTGTTTGAAGATAGGTAATAGGTAAGAGGTGGGACATGCTGAGAAGAGAGTATAGTTTTCCAGTGGGCAAACAGATGGGGAATGAGAGCCAAGGATAGTTCCACTGCAATGGGCAGAGTTGCTGTGAGGACAAGCTGCCATTGATACGAGGGGACCCAAGGCAGGAGACCAGTGAAATGAAGGCAGCCTGTATTTCTTGGAAAACGTGTTGAGTAAGGAATGGGTAGTCTGGGATACAGGATGGGGGCTCAGGCTGCAGGTGCACATTTGGGAGTCACCAGCATAGATAGCTTTAGAAATCCTGAGACTGGGTAAGATAACCATGGCTGACATGTGGAGATAGGGCTTAGAGTGGATCTTTGGGTTGAGCAATGTGAAGATCACCTGTGACCCTGGCCAGAAGAGTTTCAGTGGGATTGGGCTGAAAGTCTGATGAAAGTAGGAAAGCAAGAAGAGATGGGGCGTGCAGACATCTCTGAGGAGTCTGGCTGCAAAGGTGAGCAGTGGGGGTGGTCAGGGAGCCCTCCTGATGCCAAGAGGGAGACTCACTGCATTGCAGTCCAAGTAGGTGGGAAGAGGCAAGATGGACAGAGGCTAGTTATAAGGACAAAAGCTGCAGATGATGGTGTATCTTTTCATGGAGATGGTGGAAAAACAGGAGGGGTGGGAACAGGCAGAAAGGTGAAAGCAGCAGCTATGTCAGAGTGGGGAGTGAGTGGTCTGGTGGCTGGGTACTATTCATCAGCCACTATCCATGCATGGCCACCTCATGGGAGGGCAGCTATATTCAGGCATAGCAGCCTCTGACAGGATGGCATTACCATGTCCCAACCATCCCAATGGCCTGTGAGGCTCTCCAGATCCGCAAGGCCTGAGAACCAGGGCTCGGCCAGGCCCAGGATGACACCAGCCCCTAGGCCTGGGCGGGGTGGTGACCACAGTCAGAATAGTTGGAAACTGCTCCTGTGGATCTCGGAGGAAGCTGGGGTCTGTGTGTGAAACCAACTCCTGGAGCAGAAAAGAGGCAGGTCACAGACTCTGTGACAATCCTTATCTATTCTAAGTGCAAAATGCTGCAGACTTGAGTGGGAGTTCATGACAACCAGCTGGTTGTTCTCTGCTGGGTTTCTCCAGCGGAATGTGGCTTCCTCAGTGCCCCACAGCCCACAGCCCAGGAGGTAGGCTCGCCAGCACCGGGCAGTCTTGCACAGTGCTCTGTAGCAAGGCGTGGCTCAGCCTGTGTCTAAGGCTGAGTGAGCAGAATGAGAAGAGCAGATACCAAAGTGAGGCAGTAGAGGGTTTCTAACTTACACTTTTAAAAACAGACAATATAGGGAAAGGATACCGTGTCCCCATCTTTATGACTTCCTTCTTGGATAGTCTGAGTAGTAGTCACTTTTTGGTCCAAAATCGTTTGTACCGCTCCATATCAAAGTCATCCTTGAGCTCTGGCTCCTCCTTCTTTTCTCTGAACTTGGCCTCACGTTTCCGGAAGCGAGACTTTCTCTCCTCAGGAGACAGGCTATCAATGTCTATAGGCATCTGTGGAAAAAGCCAGGAAGCCATGAGGCACCCTGAAACTACTCAGGAGCAGGTGGCTGAGTCAGGGAAGAGGCCAACATTGGGCTGATTTGAAATGAAATGTTTAAGTGTCTTACCGAAATGATATTTTCCAAAGTCTTTGTTTTACTTCATTTTTATGCTAGTGTATAGTAATTTAACTCATATATTGTCAGTTTTTCTCTCCCTTCAAGGTTTTTTTTTCTTAAGCAAATTTCTTTCCTGATTATTTTCCCAGGATCTGATCTCCCCCCGCCCCCCCACATATACAACTCATCACTCTCATCTGAATTTGATACTCCAAAAGAAGCTTGGGGATCTCAATAGGCTTCTCCTAATACAGCAGCCCTTCCTGACCAGTATTTCCTTTCCCATTGAAAGGACATCACTGCTTGCTGTAGACAGGTCTGATAGTCTAAAGTTATGTGTTTGTTCCAGGCCAACTAGTGCAGAGCCCCTGGGAAGACTGGTTCCTCTGGGACAGCTCTCTTCACAGGGGTTGGCCATGCTGTAAGCCCGGGGGCCTCCTCCTGCCTCTACCCCTCCACCCCAATCAGAGCCCAGGGTCTGGCCCTTACCACGAGCATGCGCCTTGGCTCCCTGTAGCGGATGTGGATAGTGGCGCCATCTTGCTTGACCAGGAGCACAGGGTAGAGGCGTGCATAGGCCTGCCGGTGGAGTCGTGTGAATGAGGCCCTGTTGCAGTCAGCCCGACCAAGAGAAGTGTGCAGGTGGTGAGATGAGGGGGCAGCTCTCTGCATGAGACTCTGCCCCAGCAGGCTGCAGGAAAACACACAAGCAGTGGGTCAGAAAACCTGAACATAATCAAAATTCGAACAGAAATCAATGAAACAGAAAATAGAAGGGCTATAGAAAAAAATCAACAAGACCAGAAGTTGGTTTTCTGAATAGATCAATAAAATTGACAAACCACTGGCAAATTTAACGAAGGAAAAGAGGGAGAGAATACAAATAACACGAATAAGAAACGAAATGGGCGACATCACAACAGAAGCCACTGAAATAAAAAGGATAATATCAGGATACTATGAAGAACTGTACTCCAACAAATTTGAAAATCTGGAAGAAATGGACAAATTTCTAGAAACACACCACTTACCTAAACTAACACAGATTGATGTGGAAAAGTTGAACAGGCCCATCACAAAAGAAGAAATTGAACAGGTCATCAAAAACTTACAACTAAAAAAAGTCCTGGCCCAGATGGTTTCACTGGAGAATTCTACAAAACATTCAGAGAAGAACTGATACCAATCCTACTCAAAGTATTCGAAAACATAGAAAAAGATGGAATCCTCCCTAACTCATTTTATGAAGCAAGCATAACTT